AAAATTTTAAATTAATCCTAAAAGAATATATGAAGACTTCTCAAAACTCAACAGTTAGACAATAATTCAACTAGAAAATGGGCAAAAGACATGAAGAGACATTTCACTGAAGAGGATATACAGATGGCAAATAAGCACGTGAAAAGATGTTCAGCATGGCCAGTCATTGGGGAGATGCAAATTAAGGCCACAATGAGATGTGATCTACTACTCATTTTTAGAACAGCTAAGATTTAAAAAAAATTGACAATACCAAATGCTGGCAAGGATCTGAAGAAAGCAGATCCCACAGGCACTGTGCGGCTGGGATGGTAAAATGGGAGAGGTACTTTGGCAGTTTCTAAAAAAACTGAATATATAACTGGTAGTAAACCACTGTATAATAAGAGTAAATATAACAACCCTGGCTATGATAATATTTTTTGCCCTTTATATTTATATGGTAAAGGTACTGAAAGAAAAATTTCCCACTACTCTAATGTCAAGCTTCTAGATCAGATCATTATCACTGATCAGATCATTATCACTTGCAACTTATGAGCTAAATGAATTAAGACTTTCTTAATACTGTTCAAACAAAACTAAAGCCAGAAATAAATTAGGTCTTATGGCTAAAGAAGACAATAGCCAATAAACAGATCTCAAGTTCTCATTATTACAAAAAAACCCTTGTTCTCATTTTATGTAAATTATACAAATAATTATGGAATTAGGCTTTTTAAATGCATCATCTCACTTAATCTTACTTAAAGAAATTAAGAAAATTAGAGAAAGGTCCCATACAGAGTACTCTATGGGGCCAAGACTTGGATCCAAGTCTGAAGAATTATATACCATACCTGGAAGTTGTGAAATATATGCTTTAACACAAACATAAAAATTTGTGAAAATCCTTACATTTGAATATGTAATATGTAAGTAAAATGGTGTTAAAATCTGGAAAGCTATAATCACTAAAGCCTGGGAATGAAAAATATGCTGGTTCTATCAAATGTCAACTGTTGGTCCAGAAAGCCTACCACTCTATTTAAATTAATTAGACTTTTAAGAAACATCTTTAAGGCACTAACTCTATATCTTTCTGGGTTATCATGTAACATTTGGTTTCAGTTCCCATTCACTGAAAAGACAGATCTGCATGCCTACCCCCAGGTTTTATTCTAGACACCAGGACAAAAGAGGCAAACCTCTGCCTCTTTGGAGCTGTCTGAGTTGCAGTGGAGTGAACGCTCTCTATGTTAGTGAGTAGATCCAACATGTAAGAAGGTGATCAACTGTGAACATGAGCCTTACTCCTAAAGTTCAAAGTGACCATCACTGAACTTAATATGGGAAATAGTTAAAATAACACAGTAAGTAGATCGGATTAACTATTTACAACATTGTGCAGCAATTTAAGAAAGAAATTAACATCAAAAACTTGCTAAACCACTCATCTAAAAACAGCTGTCCTCATAAAAGAATATACACTAAATGCTAAATTTAAAAATATTTGCTTTCTCAATTCATACACATAAAACTACAACTAAAAGTAGGTACCAACTGCAATGCCACTGTCATGTAAGTTTATTTAACATAATTTTTTAACGACCATGAATATAGAAATCAGTAAATTTAATGAGGCCATGTTTGGTATGGTAGGTCTACATGTTTTCACTATATTAGACTTTGCATTAATTTGGTTTACTATTATTTTTCAATTTTTCAGTAAAAATTTAAAAGCTGAAAACAGCTTTTAGAGAATTAATGACATCCAAAGACATTCCATAATTTCACTGCCAGAAATGATACGTTTACTGTAACACTAGTACACAACGTCCCCCTTTATATTGGAACTATGAGTATAAATTATCATACTGCTTCTCCTTCCTTTTTTAAACAATCAAAATGATAAACAGAAAATGTATAAGATATCTATCGTTTGAATTTACTTCAATCAGACTCCAAAATACACGACAAAATTTTTAGACGAGTATTATTTTCCTCCTGAATTTCATTTTCAAAGCAGGGAGAAAAAAAAGAAGGAAAGGAAAGGAAATGAAAGGAGAGAGGGTAAAAAACAAAGCCACTTCAAAACTACCAGAATAAAACACATCTAGGTCTTGACCAGCAATGTTCTATTTAAAAAACTACTAAGACATCATCAGATAAAGTACCCAAATATGTCACCTAAATAATAATTATTAATGTGACAAAGGGTAAATAATTGCTATTTGTTTTTAAAACACAATTATCTGGACTGGCTTTTTCTCCCCTTTGTTTGTCATTGGACAGAGGTTTAATCTAAGAAATTCCACTATTTCATTGTTAAATATTTAATAAATTTCATTGTTAAAAAATAAGTGGTTTCAACATTTTTTTCTAATAGCTCTTGATGTAGAGATATGTATACAGAAATAAGCAGATAGTCAAAAGGCCTCAATGTTTTGAAATCTGAATTAACTCAAAGAACAGCAAATAATATTTCAACAAATAATAACAAAAAATTTTTAAAGTAGAAAACATTTCCTTTTATAGAATATTGATATTCTTCTAAGCTTTTCTTTATTTTAAAACGTAGTCTCCTCTAATTTCTTTCACCTATTTATCAAAACAGAAAAAATTTAATGTAAAACATGTAGCTTATTTGTATAAAACTAAGGAAAGGTTTTATAATAAAATAAATATTAAAACTTCAAATAAAACTTATGTCATGCTGAACAAGTTTTTAAAAATCCAACAGGTACCATGTAATTAAAGTATTTTTATAAGGAATTCCAAAATATTTTTATAAGGAATTTAACTGAAAAGTTTTTTGTGATTAAGAAAGCAAGTATTGCTAAAAACTCATATAACTTTCCCTCCTTTTTTCCATGGTAATTGTAATTTTCTTTGGTGGTTCTTGATTCTGAAATGTCAAAATTTAACTGAAAAGCTTTATATTTGTTCTGAAGAGATTTTTTAAAACAGTGGTAATTTCCTCACTAACATCCTCTTTTCTTTTGAAATGTAGCTTTTATTTCTAAATCAGATCCTCAAAGTCATGTTTTATACAGTCTATTTTCTATTCATAAATTCACAAATTATGAGAACAAAGAAAAAGTAAAATAACTTCTAAAAGAAGAAAAAACTATACATTGATACAAATAGGACATTTTTCAGTAGAACACTGTGGGGTGTTGGGGGTGATGCACAAAATAGGTGAAAAAGATTAAGAGGTACAAACTTCCAGGTATAAAATAAGTAAGTCATGGTGGTATAATGTACACATAGAGAATATAGTCAATAATATTTAACAATTTAGTTCAATAACAGATGGTAACTGTTCTTATGGTTATCATTTCATAATGCATGAAACTAACAAATCATTATGCTATACACCTGAAACTAATACTGTATGTTAACTGTAACTCAATGAAAGAAAAATAATTTTAAAGAACAGTAATAGCTGGTGGCTATGTTTTGAACAGAAACTCCTATGAAACTTCAATTCCTTTTTCCAAAAACAGTAAAACTATTTTCTCCATACACATTGCTGTATATGTTATTTTTCTTCTTCAAATCTTAAGCACATGCTCAGTTGCTCAGTTGTGTCTGACTCTTTGGCAAACCCATGGACTGTAACCTGCCAGGCTCCTCTGTCCGTGGGATTTCCCAGGCAAGAATACTGGAGTGGGTTGGCATTTCCTTCTCCAGGGGATCTTCCTGACCCAGGGATCGAACCCAGGTCTCCTGCACTGCGGGCGGGTTCTTTACCACTGCGCCACCTGGGAAACCCCTTCAAATCTTTAGATGCCACATCAAACCATGCTGTAGCAACCTCCATTTTCGCACACGTATCATCTAAGTGAGCCACCATTACGGTGGCTGCTGTAAAGAATCGCTATCGCTTTTCTTTGCTCTCTTTCCTGGTAATCAAACTGTATAGGAAACATCTGAACCCCTCCTGATCGAGCACTGACTGGATCTTGCTGTGGTTTTGAACCTTTACTTGATATAACTTAAAAAAGGAAATATTCCATAATGGGCACTCAACAACTTTCAGGGGAAAAGAATGGAACAAGTGCCAGTGCTGCGAAGCTATGTTCATTGACAATTTGTTCCATTTATTTGCCTTTGTTTCTGGTGTATTTTACCAAAATTATAGAAAATATCTGTAGATTATAAAATCACAATATATTATTTCATCAAAAATAATGATCAACAGATTAACATTAACTTCCTTTATCTGGGTGTATTCTGGTGACTTGTTTTTCATAAACAAAATCTACAGAATTTTATTGCAAATACATTTAATTCTATCTGAGACTCTTAACCTCACCACATTTCATAATTGAAACAGCTTTAAGCTGGCAACAGGCCAAATGTTTAAACAGGCAATTAGCAGAACAGAGCGCCACTTACTGGTTTTTAGTTATTATTCACAAGAATACTTAAAAGAGAAACATGATAACAATTTCATTCTCTGAGATTGGTAATAAACTTTAATAGACTTCACACCACTCTAATAACACAAGAATACAGCAGCACCTCCACTGAACATTCTAACAACAAATTATCTTAAAATTACGTTTAATGCTGAAACACAGCATCAGAAAACATTAAATCAAGGAAGATTCAAAGAAAATTAATATATTCTTCACAAGTAAAATGAACCACAGAGCAGATGCTTAAGGGATGTACTTAATAAAATAAAATTTTATTTTCTCAATTCTCTAGGTCTAACCAAATGTTCTGTTATTCACCAATTAGCTTCAAAATCCAAAAATACTGTCTCAAATAAACTGTCCAAACAATATAAAAATAAATAGGCTTAAAAAGCTAAACTGAGCAATTTAATTCCTAAATGTAAAAGAAAAAAAATATTTTCAGCTGGTTTCAAACTTGATGTCCCTTTTCTGAGTATGACTTACTTCAAACTTGTGTTTTTGAAACTCAGCTAACATTTTGAAAAAACTGCTCCATTTTCAAAAGCTAATGGAGCATGCTAGTCAAGAAGGGTATAAAGAAAGCTAACTTACCTTGGTTTGGTTGCATACTCATATTTGGTCTGGGGCCATAGTTTCCCATGGGCTGCCCTTGACTCATGGTCATCTGGTTCTGTACTGGCATGCTCTGGGATGACGGCACGGAATGGTTGTAACCTCCCATGGACCCATGGCTACTTGAAGGCATGTTCATGGAACTGTTTGTCATATTAAGTTGATTGGGCCCAGGTCCCTGCATAGGCATATGGTTGGGCCCTAGAAGAAAAGTGATCAGAACCAAAATATGAAAGTTAAACAGATGATCTCTACAAAAATGCCTTGAGAAGCTATTTTTTTGCATTAATGCAATAGTAATGCCAAATGATAACTTGAGTATTGAATCAACAGCCAAAGAAGTAAATGCTTTACTTGAATGATAGCAAATACTGTAAGGTGGACTACTATTCTCATTTTACACATTAAGAAACTGATGCTTTTGAAAAGCCAGAAACATTCTAGGAAAAAAAAAAAAAAAACAGTATGAAGGAGGACTTGCTTTATAAGAGACCAAAACATATGAAGCTGAATTAAAAGTGTGCAGTGCTAACACATAAATGAACAAATTAACAGATCAATGAATCTAGAGCACAATCTAAAAACTGACCCAAACGCACAACCTGGTAAATGACAATGGTTCTGATACTAAGTATCTGTGAGCAAAAGAAAGATAATTCAGTATGTTGTGACAACTGAGTAGACATCTGGAAAAACACAGGTTGGATCCCTACCATGTTTTTTCTAGCAAAACTAAGTCCAGATGTATAAAAGAATTAAACATTAAAAAAGAAGAAAGAAAAAGGAAGGAAACCAAGAAAGAGTATTTCAAACTGGAGAATTTCTAAAATAAACTTAGAGTGGAAGTGCTTTCTTAAGTATATAAAAAAAACTCAGAACTGTAAAAGATTTATAAACTAGAGTACATAAAAATAAAACATTTGCACATGATCAACAAAGCAAAATTAAATAACAAAAAGATTAACTGGGAAAAATTGTTTACAAGAAATATCACAGACCAAACTAATTACTTAACATATAAACTAAGTAGGTAAAACTCCACCAGCAGTAAACAGGCAAAGTACATATGAAACATCAGTTGACACAAAAGCTGCAAAAGAGCCATAGACATGAAAAAATTCCTTGTTTCATTTAATATAGTAAAAAGGCAAATTAAAACCATGAGATCCATTTTTCATCTTTTAGATTTGCAAAGATCAAAAGTTTTGTTCCAACCATATTATGAAGAAAAAAGCACTTTCATTCTTCATTGGAAGACTATAAATGTAATAAGTACTATTTTTATGTAGACCAATATGGCAATGGCTACCATATTATAAAATGCATATACCTTTAACCTAGCAATTTCAGTTCTGGGACTTTATCCTATATACAAGTTTTTGAGTGAATATGTATATGGATACAAAACTGTAAGTTTGTTTACTTATTTATTTATATTTCATAGGCATATTCACAAAAGTGTAATTTTTAATACCAAAAGACTAGAAATAACCTATATTTCTATCAGAAGGAAATTGTCCAAATAAATGAGGCATCCATAAAAAGAATGTAATACAGTCAATCAAAAACAATGAGGCAGCTCTTTATATACTGAGTGGTCTCCAAAGTGTATCTTTATATACTCTTGGTCTCTAAGGGAAATTTTTTAAGAGGTAAAAATATGAAATGTAATACTACCTAACATATGCTACCATTTGTGTTTAAAAAAAAAAAAAGAAAGAAAGAAAAAAGAATATACACCAGCACATGTTTTAAAGGGTAACTAGACACCAATGACTATCTGGAACAACGAGTCTGGGTAGATAGGGGCTGTGTGCCTTTTCGCACCTTTTGATTTTGGCACCATAGGTATATATTATCTAGTTTTTTTTTTAATCTGCTAAATTTATTTTAAAGGAAGAAACGTGACCAAGATCAAACAGCATATAAAGAGCACTACCACTTACAAGACAAAACATTCAAAACAAAACTAAAATCTGAAATTAAAAGCCTAGATACAAATTCGTGTGCATAAAAAGGTTGGCTAAATACCATATGAAACTTATTAAATAAAAACAATATAACTAACTGGACTTCCAATTTCTCCTACACCTAACTGTAAACTTTCTAACTATGAGTTGTTTTAGTTGTTCTCCAGTAATCTGGACAACCTAGGTCATAACTGGTTGAAAATCCCTGGCTCATAAAGAGCTATCTTATTCCAGATGGCATTACACAAAAACCAAATGTCATGTTAACAATAATCATATTGCTGCTCGCTTGCTTCCTCAAGCCTTTGGCTTGAATGTTACCTGGAAAAGTTGAATCGAATTCCTAATTAAAGGCACCACCATAAAAACAAAAAAGAAATCACAAAACTCCCCTGACTTGCTAACCTGCATTGGCACTACCCTAACAGTTTTAAAAACAACGTGTCCTGATGATCTAAGTGTGGACAGAGCAAGAAGCTTCCTTCGACTACAACCAGTTCCTTCTGACTACAACCAGAAGGAAGCGAGAAGCCTCCTGCTAACTAGCACCAACAAGCTATTATGTCTTTAATCCTGCCTCCACGTGGGGTGAGGGCCATGTGGGCCATGACTGTGGAAGCCCCAGAAAGAAAAAGTTACCATCAAAACATCCCACCCTCCTACATGACCAATCAATCACATATCGATCTCCTACAAGCCAGGTTACCTGGCCTCTCTTGCTCTGTGCTTTCTACATCCACCCTCAACACCAATGCTACCGACACAATCAGTTGATACTATCCTAAGGATGCTAATACTAATTTTAAAAATAAACTTCTCTGTGATTTTAATTTACTCTCACTATTGCTATTTGTATAATACTTTATGTTAATGAAAATAACCTTTGTTTTTAGAAAGCAATAATATTCTCACATTAAATGTAGAAAACACCCCACCAAAAATTATGGGTGTGTGACTGTTGTTACAAAAACAAGATAATTTAAAGATACTTTTCAGATTAAAAATTCAACCCAGCAAAAGGTGTGTAAATCAGCACCTGATGGTCTGAAAGATATTTTAAATAGCTCTAAACTTAAAATGGATAAACAACAAATGATGCATTATATAAGAAAGCTGACACTTCTCAGCTTTTAATTTTGCTCAATTTCCACATTTTCATTATGCTATAAACATATATATTCATAAAAATCCAAGCTCACTTTCAACAGACCAATGAGGAAATACTAAATACATTAGCACTTTAGAGAGTGTTTCGTTTTTATCTCCCCATGTGTTATTTTTTCAGCAGTATTGTTTCTGAGATCAATAAAATTTCAAGTAAATACAAAACTCAGAGAAATGCTATAATACATTTTTATAAACATTTTCATTCTTAAGCCACAATGCCATGCCTTCCCCCCCCCCCCCCCCAAAAGCTTCTAAAGCCAGCTGTATTGCATAGTTTCAGACAGACTAAATTTAGCCAGTTCTGTTCATCAGAGGAATGCTGTGTGTCAGCTACATCAAAGCCCAAGGGCAGCCTGATAAACACTGAATACAGGTCACGTAGCTCTGTAGCTAACAAACTCTAAGAGAGCTTGGACTCGGGGGCATTCAAAGCAGTTTTGTCATCAACAATCTAAGTATCCCTTGAGCCCCCATGTCGTTTCAGTTGCTAAGCAACTCTGGTGTTAATGTCTTAGAGGAGAGAAACTTACCAGGCATCTGGCCGTTCATCTGGTTCTGCATGTGTGGTGCCGGAGGACCCCCACCTACCATTCCATCTGAAGGCATGTTGTGAGCCCGCGGAGGTGGGGGAGGGCCGCTCGGACTCATCCCTCCGGGACCCATAGGCATATTCTGTGTGGGTGGCTGAAAGAAGACAGTTTAGTAAAACAAGACAAACAGTCAGGCTAATATATTAAAGATACATATGGTGTAACAGTTGCCTATATTATTCAAGTGAACAGGAGCAAAAACACACAAGCGTTTCAACTTATTCTACTGCATTTTAATCATGGGCTTATTCACATTGTGATTAATAAACTCCAAAAACTTCACAGGATCATCAGCATGGATGTATCCTCTGACCACCTTAGACCAAAAGAAGAACCACAACTGAGGCATATTTTACTTTACAGTGAAAATTTAAAAATTGTAACATTGAATACAAAAAGAATTCTTGTTTATCTATCAAGATTTCTAAGGTGCCCACTATTGCTATTTCAATTATACTTTAAAAATCAAGCCTCCTTTCATTATTGATATAATGGGGTATATTTACTCTTAGTGATGTATTTCACCTTAAAAGATACAGTAACAAAAGACTACAGGACAGAAACTTCAAAATGTGATATATTTTATACTGTTGGGAGGGGGGTGATTGTGTAGGGGGAATGTTTTAAAGCACAGAGATGCAGCTCAGCCCAACATTTTTGTGCCGACTACTCCTATAGATTGGAAACATTACTGACGGCCTCCAAGGGTATACAGACAGCTGCCTCAAAAGGATGCCTTTGGCAAATTTCCTAATGCAAGCGTGAAGAAAATCACTGACTAACCTTGAGAGTTCACAAAAGGGCAAAAGGAAAAACACAGATATAAGGTAAGGTGGTCTGTAAAAACTTGGCTCCCTTCTTGGGGATTTTTGGGTAGAGAAAGCATATAGTTTCTTTCCAAACCCCAGTTTTTTAAGCCTGTAAGAGGATACGGAAATCTTACCTTAACAGATCTATTTTGCTTTCTTTCTCTACTTGTCTGTGTTCTAAACAGAATGTCCATTTCTACTTCAGTCTTCCTCTGACATGTTTACTATGTCTATACTACCCAGATTTTGCAAACACAGTCCTCCCTAGCACACTGACCAGATATACATCGTTCTTTAGACATCACGTGTAAACACTCAAATCTCCAACCACCTCATAACCACCACCATTTACAAAATTAAACAGATTCAAAATCTTAAATTCAAATCTTAGTTTCTTCCACTACTGAATCCAATCCAATAACTGCTTATTAAATATTTCCTCTTCAAGTCTTATCTTAAATTCTTTATCCAATTTTTATTTTTTAAATACTTTGCTCCATTTAAAAAAAATTACCAAACATCAACTTGGTGTCACATATCTCACTTTTAAATCACCCTTTCTTTATCCTCCTTCAATATGGCTGACTTGACCCTCTAGTTTGAAAATCAAATTCCTTCCTCCTATTATCTTGTCCAAATTTTTTGTTCAAGAATTTGTGCTCTCACTCTCAGTAGGTATCAGTTTCTCATCTTCTTGTGATTCAACTCATAAAACACCAGTGTTCTCAGTTCCCATCCTAATAAAGTAGCTTGTATCAAACTAACCCTCACGCTAGTAAAAGCTGTAAAATCCAGATAGGCCACTCTCTCCTTCTGAGATGGCCCAAACTCTGTCTGTGGAGCGTCTTTCTCTCTAAATCCATTTCTTACCTATCACCTGGTTCTCATAGAATTCTTTCTGCCATGAGACATCAAGAACCTGAGCTTCATCAAGTTCTGAAACCAGGAGGTGGATCGAGAAAGATCTTGCTGTGATTTATGTCAAGGAGTATTCTGTCTATGTTTTCCAAGATTCATTACTTTATATTTGTGCTTCTTTACCTGGTTAGTTATACTTTTTGAAAATGGCAAAGAAAAATTAAAACTGTTTCTCTAAAAAAAATACAATCTAGATAAAAGTAAAAATCTAGATACAATCTAGATAAAAGTAAAAATTTGAAGGCACTGAACAGTGATGTACACAGAGAGGAACAAGAGGGGCTACAACTCTTAAAAGAAGGGAAAATAGAAACAACACAACTCCACAGCCACGCTGGCTTTTCCCGACTTCACTGGGTAACAGGAAAACAGAGCCCATGTAGCAGGCACCAGTCCTACGAGACTAAGACAGAGATTTTTGGCATTTTTGGCTGCCGGAGAGCTGGAAACTAAAGAACAAAGTCCCAGAGAGCAAGAACCAGAAAGAAGGGAAAGATTCAAGAAAACTAGCAGAAAACAGCAATTACAACAAAAAAGAGCTGAGAAGAGATTCCAGCTCTGCCCTGTTCAAGGGAGACAAAGATTGGAGTAGAGGTCCCAGTACATCAGAAAGGCCTTCAAACAAGTCAATCCCTCTGTTAAGATTTCAAAAGAGCCTTTACTTGGATTAAGATCAAATTTAAATAGATCAGCCCTACCAAGTGCAAAAGCCCTCAATTAAAATTGAAAGGCATTCTACAAAAAGTAAGAAATGGCCAACACTCATCAGGATGGCTACGAAATTTTTTTTTTTTTAAACTACAGAAAATAACAAGTGTTGGTAAGAAAGTGGGGAAAATAACTCTCATACATGCTGAAGGGATTGTAAAAGGGTGCAGCTGTTGTGCAGAACACTTGAGCAGTTTCTTAGAGGTAAACACAGAGCTATCAAAGGACCTAGCAATTCCACTACAGGTATAGATCCAAGAGAACTGAAGACATATATTCACACCATATTTAAACATGAATGTTCACAGCAGCACTAGTCATAAAATAGCCAAACAGTAGGGAAAAAAATAAAAGTTCTTTAACCGATGAATGAATAAACAAAATGTGATAAATTATCTACACAATGGAATGTTTTTCAGCCACAAAATGGAGTGAAGTACTGAAACACTACAACACAGACACATCTTGCAAACACTTATGCTAAGTGAAGATGTCAGACTCAAAAGTCTATACATGGTATGAATCCATTTATATGAACTGTCCAGAACAGGCAAAGGCAGAGAGACACAAAGTAGACTGATCAGTCTTTGCCAGGGGGATGGGCAGAGGGGAGAACTGCAGCTGATGGTCAATGGTCATGAGTGTTCTTTTTGGGGTGATGGAAGTGTCCTGAAATTAGATAATGGTAATGGCTGTATACCCTGTGAATACACTGAAAACCACTGAGTTGTATACAATTCCTTACTTTATTGTGCTTCAAAGATACTGTATGCGTGTGTGTGTTATAAATTAGAGGTGTGTGGCAACCCCGTGTGAAGCAAGTATATTGGTGCCATTTTTCCAACAGCAATGCTCATTTCAAGTTTCTGTGTCATGTTTTGGTAATTTTCACAGTATTTCAAACTTTTTCATGACTATTGTATTTGTCATGGTGGTCTGTGAGCAGTGCTGTTTAATGTTACTATTGCAAAAAGATTACAACTCACTGATGGTTCTGATGCTGGTGAGCATTTTTAGCAATCAAGTATTTTTTAATTAAGGTGTGTACACTGATGTTCAAACACAGTGTCAATGCACACTTCACAGGCTACAGTACAGTGTAACACAACTTTTATATGCTCTGGGAAACAGAAGATTTTCTGTGACTAGCTTTATTGCAGTATTCATTTTATTGTGGTGGTCTAGAATGGAACCCACAATATCTGTACTTTAAAAGGTTAAAATGGTGAACTTCACACTATGTGAATTTTATCTCCAGTAAAAAAAAAAGAGAGAGAGTAGATGGAAGACCAACAGAAATAATAGAAAACAGAAAAAAAGACACATAGGTCATTCACATTTTAGAGTTATTTGAGAGATTTTAATAATGACTGATATGTTCCAGGCAAAAAGCAAACAGAATAAATGGAGAACTTCAGCAAAGCCTAGAATTCTTAAAAGAGTAAAATGGAGCAACAAAAGTGTAAAATAAAATCACAAATCAAGACAGAAAAAATGGAGAGAAAATACAACTCAAAAGTGTTAAAGACATGTATGCCGTGTTAAAAAGGCCTAACACACATCTAACTGGAATTACAAAAGTGGAGAAAATGACACATAAGCAGTAAGAATGCTGGCCAAGAATTTTCCAAAGCTAACAAAAGACATGAGTCTCTAGCAAACGTATGAACCTATTAACCTAAGTAGGATATGAAGCAAGCATAGCTAGACATATCAGAGTAAAAGTCCTAAAAGCCAAAGTGAAAACCTTAAAAGTAGCCAGGGAAAATAAGTTACATTACCTTCAAAGAAATGGCAATCAGACTAAAAACCTATAGTGTATCATAAATAATAGAAACAGAATTAAAAAAAACCAAGATCTTTAAAGTGCTAAGACAGAAAAAGAAAATAATAAATCAACCAACCTAGAATTCTATACTAAGAGAAAATATACTCCAAATACAAAGATGAAATAATAATAGTTTCAGATGAATGAAAACTGAGATAACTTGTTCAACTGAAAAGGATTCATCCAGCTAAAAGAAAATGGCCCCAGACAGAAGCACAGAACTAGAGGAATTAACATAAAGGAATGGAAAGGTAAATATGTAAACAAATAAAAACATTAACATTTAAAATAACAGTAACAATGACTAGTATAGTTTAAAGATATGTAGAAGTATAAAATATGACAAGACTAACATAAGGACAACAGAATAAATAAAGTTAAATTGCTATAAATTTCTTGTGTTTTTTTCAGCAAGTGTTAGAAGTACAAATTTAGACTGGAATCTAATAAACCAAGCTTGCGCAATGTAATCTATTGGATAACTACTTCAAAATGCCTACAAATAATGCTTGATTAATTCAAAGAAGGACCAAAATAAGGCAAATAGAAAACCAGGATCAGGCTGACAAACTCAGACCCTAATATATCATGTTCTACATTAAATGTTTATGGACCTCTCATTTCAATAAAATAACAAATATTATTGAATTTTTTAAACATTCAACTATATTCTGTTTATAAGAGACTTACTTTAAACTTAAGGACATGTAGATGTTAAAAGAAAAAGAATAATATATAAACATTAATTAAATGTATGGTGATATCACTATATATCAGACAGTTGACAAATCAAAAACTACTACTACTAGAAGTGCTAAAGGGACAGTTTAT